TGATGCATTACTTGATAGCTACTATTGAATTTTTTTGCTCATTTGGCTAGCGATGTTTGAAATAATCTGCGAGTTGATTACAATTTTGGAAAATAGCTGCAGGATTCCACTAGGAATCCTCGACGAAGATGGTTTTTAGTAGGACACACGCCTGGCTAAAATAAGTCCTACACTGAAAGCCATGCTTATAGTCATGTTCTGGGAAAGGTTTAGCCTGGGGAGCAGTCTCGCCTCCAGTTCTAATCTGCTCGTCGTATGTAAGTACAACTCACGTCGTCACAAAACGGTACCATCCGGTATCTGTCGGAGAGCAGCTCAGACTTGCTCTATCCCCATTTTCCCTGCCCCGGGAACCGGACATGTGCCCACAGCTCAGCCCTCAAACCTGACACAAATACCGGCATCTCATTTCCACGCACCCGCCGCGCCGGCCGTGAGCCGCAGCTAGCACCCGACGGGAGACGGGGCCGAGCCTTGAGCACACACCCTTGACACCACACATCCGCCACCATCGAGCCACCATCGCCGCTATCGCGTCACCATCACCATCGCAATCACCAGCGCCGGGCCGCGGCGCGGCGCGCCGATGACTCGTCACTGCGGGAGGGACGTTTTTGGGGTCGGCGGTCACGTGACGTCGGGTGGGATCAAGGACGAGCTTCTCAATAAGGAGACGTGCGGCGGTGCTGTGTGGGTCGGCCGGTGCAGGGGGGGGGGGGGGCGAGGGCACCATGGCCGGTGGGGCCGTCCAGGACCGCCACAGGCAGACGGGCGGCCGCTGACCCCGCTAAACTGGCAGTGATGGCCATTGCCTGGACTCCAACTGCATACCAATGCACCGGGAGGGAACAGCGTAGGCAAGCTGCGAGGGTCGAGTGACAGTGAATGGAAAATGGCTGACAATCAGAAGTAGCACGATAGGTTGAACGCTAACTAAATGATTGCCACAACTGTTTTGCAGTGAAGGGGTGATCAAGTCACACCAAAACCCGGTCATTTATTATTGTGGAATACAGTTTGACTGGGTAAATCGCTCCGCAGATAACCATGTTTGATCGTACTATACAAATCCTTTTCGATTTTATGACATACCATTGACGCGAAACGTTACAGCGTAGCTGATCTAAACGTCGGGGTTAAGCCCATGCGTACAACGCCGAATCCGTGCTAAATCTAACTGCCAACGTTTCTGCGAATCCAGTGACCATCAGCGAACATAATACTCGACTGTGACCGTTCCCAGTTTCAACAAAGCCGGGATGGGGCAGGCTTCGCCCTGCGAGCATGACAAAGCCGCTGTGCCACCGCTTTGTTCGATGACATCATCACTTGTTGACGTCGCTCAATGAAACCTCAGATTTTTCGTGTCAGGCGGTGGCAATCTGTCGTGCGGGCGATGTCAGCCACCTGTCAGCGCTGTAGTTAGCTTCGAGAGATGACCACGACTCTAGTGAACGATGAAGGATGCATGCTGACTGGAATACGGTCTCTGCACAGTCAGCGTGGCCACAGGCACGACCCAGGTATGGAGCACGGCGCCGGCACCGGCACGGTGGAATGACTGGACCGACCGGCTCGAAGCACGCCGCCGCGCCGCTGGGAGCCGGTCGGCAGGTTGGTCGGGTCAAAGGTCGCACAGCCAGCCAGGTCGGTCGGATGGCTGGCCCACATCGGTGTCGACTAGCAGTACCTGCAGCGCGCGTGCCATCCGGCAGTACCGGTAGTATGACCGGCACCTGAGCCGACCGGCCCACGCGGACCGGGTCGCGTCTGGTCACAGCGTCCGCAGTGGCCTGGACGAGCGGTGACGAACGAACCGGCTGTGCAGCGGCTTTCTAGTGTCGACGGTGTCCCAAATTAGTTGTTATAGGTCAGCCGTGGGTGTCAGGCGCTGAGTACAAGCGGTTATGAAGTTGATCTGGGTGAGCTAAATACAAAGCCGGATTTGGATTAGATCTCTGATGGGTGGGTGATTTTCCGCGGCGTTGAAGGCCGATAGTCCTACCCACGGGCGGTGCCTGACGGCTCACAGATCGATTATCATCCTTCAGTTAGCCATAAAGGCCAGTAAAAACGGCAGTGAGGCAGCGGCGCCGCGCGCAGGGCGTTTGTGGCGCGTCAGCTGGCGGTGGTTAGGGGTCATGCAGAGGTCATCCACCGGCGTCCGTGCAGAGGTGCGTGACCTGAAAATGTCGAGAGGCAGGGAGCATGGAAAGGACTGCACCAGGGGATGATGAAAAGCCATGGGAGCTTCGGAGCTCGGGGGTTGATATTCGATATGCATTCATGAAGATAATCTAAATTAGAAGAGAAAGTTGCAACACTTCCCTGTATGGAAGTGATCAGAGATATGAAAGGCATGAACCATAATGGGCTTATAAGGAACATATGTACTGGGTACCTGATATAGTAAATAAACTGCCACGGCCACAAACGAAAGCCGGTTCCTGTATCACCGTTGCGCTCTGTATAAATAACCACCACTTCGTAGACGAAGCTAGATAACGTTACTGATATATCATGGCTACCTTTCTCTTTTACTTGCTAGTTGCTGTCCAAACTTTCGCTCAAAGGAACTGTAGGAGGTATTACACCCAAGGGGCGCCATAGAACCCGTCGCCCCAGCACCCGTCCCGTTGTGGGACGCTTTTTCTCTTTGTTGCTGTGGGGAGGCACCAAAAGGAAAAGGGAGGCCAATATCCTGACTTGATGGGGGGGGGGGGCCTTTGTGATTGTAACGCGATCCCACATGTGATTTAGCCACAGTGCCATAGCACAGTCAAAGACCTGTCAAATCCGGCACCAATATGAAAGGTGTGAAATGTGGGCTTTGATAGCCTGACTGATTTTTATAATGCTTAGTGGTCACTAAACTGAACATATTTACGTATAAATGGGCCTTGAAATGGAGCAGATAATCGCATTTTAGTGTGTGAGACGTTTTTTGTTCTGTTTAAACTAGTTATAGCAATTGATTTTTTTTTTAAAGCATAGATGACGCCTTAAGTGTTCTGTGCTATTCTGCATCCCTGCCGCGTTAACACGTCACGTTACGAGGCCAAAGCGTGACGTTTGCCGTGACGTGTTTCATCAAACAGCAGAGCGTGACCAAGTGTGATTGGTGAAGCATGGATGCAGCCGGTCTTTCTTCGTTCGGGTTTGTCTTCAAGCGTTTTTCCCTTCCTAGGTAGCCGGTTGTGTTGTGATGAGTATTGATCGTTTCGTATTTCGGTGGTTTTAGCCATACCATGAGTAGGAGTAGGACATCAATGTCATGTAGAGGTTCGAATTCTGCATTGTCGAAATAGTTTCTCATGAAGGCAGTTGAATGAAACTGTTATGATACATGCACGCTTACTTGTCAGTTAGCCTGACTTGTGCCCGCTGTAAAATGTCGCCGGTAGTCGCGGTCCACCCGCAGGGTCTGTCCAAACGCCGTCAGGTCACCTAACGGCTCAAAATACTATGGACCGAAGATCACACCGAAATTGGCAGCAGCCGCGGTTCGAACTGCGTGCTACGTCACAAAAGCACAGCGTTCTCGTTGTGCCCACTTGTCGTAAGACAAGCTCCGTCTGTCAACAGGATGTTAACAATGCTTTTTCGAATTGTCCAATCACATTGAGATTCCGTTCCGCCTCTTTGCACACAATAGGGGCCTTCAAGGTCCAATCGGTCCAACAACGATTGAAATCAATGCTCGCACAGTGCACGCAGTATCGTATATGTCATTATAACCTACAGGTTGAACAGTTCGGTCTTTCGCTTAACAGGCCATAACATGACAGTAACGATTAAAGTCGACTGTCCTCTTATCATAATTTGTAATTGTGCCATTTATTACACGATACTTCTTGGTGGCGTGCTAATCAAACTCATTAGCTCGTTCAAATCATGTGCTGGGTCAATATCATCTGATAAAGAGCTTGGTCTTTACGTTTCTTCTACAGTTTGAATGTCATGCAGGTAATCTACACATTGTCCGAATGTTTGTCCCATCGCGCCTGATAATGTGTGATATGTCGTGCTATGTCGTGTGTTATGTTAAACAGAAGTCACACTCTTTTGATTTGTGAGCGATATCACTACATGAGTGAATTTGTGGGACGGATTAGAGCTGCTCACTTTATTACACTAGTACATTTTATGACAAATGTGGTTTACCTTTAAAAAGTAGTCCCACATAGTTCATATCACAAGTCAGGCGTGATCTACACCTGTACGCGAAATGCTCTAGATCACCAAGCTTTGTGTGATCGGCATTCTCTCGGAGCGGTTGTCCACTTGTTCAGGCGGGAGTTAATTGAGGAAAGTGCAGCCAATATGGCGCCGCCCTTTGCCTCCAATGACGTCAGAGGTCTTGAGACGCCTCCGCGTCTGCTCCACATTCGCCCAATGCGCCCAAATGACGTCACTAGGGCTGGACGGCAGTCGGGTTTCCAAGAATGGCAGTGGAATTCGCAACAGTCAGCACGAAGGCTTTGTTGTCAACAGATCGAGCAAGCCAGAACGATGCTACACGCCATTGAAAAAGACGGCACACCCAATTACAACCCTGTCCTTAACCACCGCGGCCTTTATAACGGTTGGAATGCTGAGACTGAAGCATTCTCACAACAAACTACAAATTAGTGTCTGTCTCTTATGCCGAGAGCCGTCGTCCGTTTCGTCTGCGTCGTTTCTCGGCGCATGACCCCCAGCTTGGCTCGTACCTGCGTCGGCCAGGTACGGCCGAACTGCACGCGGCTGATTATAGCCGGGGGCGGACTCAGTCTCACTCTGACCTTGACGTGGGGCGGCCCGGGGGCCTGGGATGCATGCGCTGCGGCTATACCGGCGAGCGTCGGCTACCTTCCGCTTCTCACACTGCCTGCGGAGCGCTGTGGGGTGGGAAGGTATGTGTATTGTGTATGTCTGGGAGCGAGTTTGTATGGAGGTAGGGGAGGGAGTGCTGTTCGCCGGGAGGAGACTGCGGGCCGGGGAGGGGAGGAGGGTCTCACCTGTGCAGACTCGCTCGCTGCTGCAGTCCAGACCCTCGGCACAGGGCTGGTCCGAGTCGTTACAGCTCTGATCACGAAGCCTCGCACAGGCAGTACAACAATCACAGTCGGGCCGAGATCGCAGCTCCGAGCCCGGTCCACACTCAGATAGAGTAGCGTTTCTTTCACAGCAGTCGCACGCGAGCACAGCGGGCAGCAGAGCGGCCCACAGCACTACCGCTGCCACTAGCAGCACACACGACCGCATCGTCGCCGGCGTCTCTGTGTGCAGGGATCACTAATGTCGCGCTGCGGTCACCGACAGCACCACATCGCCGCGCGCGCCGTCGCAAACTGAGCGGCCGGCCGCCGGCCCGTGGAGACGTCGACGGCCGAACAGGCCGCTAGCACCAGTTGCGGTGGCGGCCGCCAGGCGGCAGCACCGGACTGATGGCCGACTGTGACGGCGGGAAAATAATGGGAAACGATATATTGGATGGCTGGCAGGACGGTTTTAGCGGCGGAAATAAAGGGAGAGGATAACGCATGCGACCCGGTTGAACAGACCTCCAGACGCTTCGGAGCGTCTTGCCTATATCTGTCCACGGGATATTTTTAATGCTAATGCTATAACCCGGCCGGGCCCGGGGGGTAATCCCAACCACCGCAGCCCGGGGGGGGGGGGCGTTTTTCGCCCCCCCCCATGTCTAACTCCGTAAATAAGGGAGCTACGGAAACAAAAGCAATACCAAACGAAAGGTCCTTACGAGACGATTCTAATGCACCTAAAATTTTTGACCTCAGGTCAATTTTCAAGGTCAGAGGTCAAGGTCAAAGGCAAAAACCGCCACATGTGTAGTGATCTCAAAGTAAGCCTTCTAGAGGACGGCAGGCTGCATCAAACCGGCAAAATTGGCTGTCAAACGAAAGAAGAGAATCTGAGGATTCTGAAATGTGCTCAAAGTGAAAGGTCAAGGTCAAGGTCACGCTCAAAATTGACCTCAAACTTGGCACTTTTTCGCATAACTTGCGTGCTAACTTCCAAGATGTTTTGAAATGTTTTGAGGCTTATCAGTTCCCTATTTGTGGTTCATCTTACGATACAAGGCTGCTCAAAGGTCAAGGTCACAGAAGAGTATCCCTGCTAGAGGCTATTTCACTGATTCAAGTTAGTAATAATAAATAAGACAATTTTGCAATCCGGAAGCTCTAAATGAAGGGTTAGAGGAAAATAGATGCCAGATTCGTGATCAGCGGGTACAGATCCATCATAAACGACCTTTCATGTGTCAAGGTCAACCAGAGGTCATTCGAGGTCACATGAGGTCAACATAAAATTTGACCTTTTCCGAACAAAACATATATCATTCGACGCGGCTTGACAAGGCGAATGCGATGGTACCACTGTCGTAGCTCTAGGACCATTTTTGTCGAAGTTATTTGCGAAAAACTAAAACCACATTTCGGGGTCGTTGACCTGACCTCTGACCTCAGGTCACCAAAACTATTTTTCTATTTTTCTCTAGGTCAAACGCTACACAACCGTGCTCGTAATTTGTCTTTATCTCTAAAACTCTATTTTTAGCAGCTATTTGAAGTTTGCGTCTGTGACGCCGAAGTTTGCCGTGCAGGGGTCTAGAAAAATGGACCTTGTGACGTCATCAAGGGGGCTAGGTCCAAATTTTTTCCTTCAGAAGATGTCAAATTGATGGGAGAAAAGGTACTGAAAGTTTCGCCTTCCTATCCCTAAGCGTTCGGGAGCTATCGCAAATATTCGCCAGGGGGGCGAAAAACGCCCCCCCCCGGGCCCGCGAGGGATAATGCATCAATGGAAATTATTGTCATAGAAAATTTGTGCTTCCTGTGCTTTCTTACTCCGGTTCCGTCTACCTATCCTGATCCTAGCACCATTCGCAAGTAAGTCATCATACACACATTGATATTGGAATTGAGGTGTGAATCCATATCTACGAGGGCATATCTAGCGCATGCTATATGAAAATATAAATATTCCCAGTGCGTACCGCTTAATCCCCAAGGTTATGAAACACCTGTATCATCGCTCAAAGCCCATATTAAATTGCTACATTACCACACAGTCCGTGTTCTGCACTCGCCGACCGAGAATTGAGACGTGCTTTAGTGGCGTCGTTTTGCATGTGTTCTGAGTAAGGCGCTCCTTGACACGGACTTGTTCTGTGGACGAGCTAATTTGCACCCCGAACACAATGTGTGGTGGCGTATGACCAGGCTCTGCAGCCATAATGGTCAGAAGCGGGTACCGCCGCGCACGTCAATAAGGGAGAACATATATGCGCATCAGTGGTGAGCGGCGAAGGAAGGTCGTACTTTAGAATATCGATCCATCTTGGATTTCTCATAGCGCAGATGTTGTGCTGCATCATGCATGACAAAATATTTCTACCTTTTTTACTAATCGATTGAAGGCCTCTGAATTTATTTAGCGACAATTCACTTGAAAAGATGTTCTTAAAAACGACAAAGTTTCGATGATTTGATGGTTGCTCCTTTTAATAACCTTTTCAATATTTTTGTTTTCAACCGAGTTCGGTCAGGTGATACCGGGACGCCTGTCGGTGCATTTAGCACTTCTTTTTCCAGGAATATATAAAAATCATGATTTTCTCTTCAAAGAACATTCTTCTACATAAACCTCACGGCGCCAGCCAGTTGTGAGGAATGCACGATAGGTATTGAAGCCCCGTTGACTTGTGAGCTATGTGTTGATTTGTTGAATGATTGCCGATGTGCCTTTGTGTGGGGCGCGTGAGCTACATTTCCACTTCTATGGTTGGTATGGCCATGGCTAATTGATTACGAGCGAGCGAGCGCAGCGAGCGAAGTGAGTCTTTTCAATATAACGGAAAAATCTCAGTATGAGCGGCCCGGCCCGGCCCGGCCTGTAACGCTTTTGAGAGGCTTATATCTCAGCAACCGCTGGACCGATTGGCCTGCGGTCTTTTTTGTTGGGTAGCCCCATCCCTTCTACCCCGTAATTGACTACTTTTGATACATCTCAGTGACGGGGTGTTCAAGCTGTTTTGCAAAAGTAGTGGTTTTGAGAGGCCCATATCTCAGCAGCCGCTTGGGCGATTGACTTGCGGTAATTTTTGTAGGGTAGCAGCATCCCTTCTACCCAAAATAGGATACTCTCGATGTATGTGGGTCACCCCCAGTGCACGTGCAAAATACAACAATAAGAGGTGCCAAATTTGTTCCCATTTCAGTAACTCGGTAATTACTGGGGCGATTTCGCTGAAACTTGGCATACAGGTAGGCACCCACCAGGCATTGCATTCCCATGTGTTGCGGTTAGGGTGCTACTGCACGTGCGCACGTGCAGGGGGCGTTTCCAGATCTCGAGAACGGCTGGGCCGATTGCGCTCAAATTTGGTACACGGCTGGGGACCAGTTAGTAGGGTGTCGTGCAAAAGTCATTTTGGACCCCGTTTGCACGTGCGCACGTGCAGAATGCCGCTTCCAGATCTCAGGAACGGCTGGGCCGATTGCGTTCAAATTTGGCACACCGCTAGCGACCGGTTAAAAGGGTGCTTTGCACAAGCCCGTTGGAAGCACCCTCTCGCCCTTCCGCACGTGCAGGGCTCACTATCTCACTCGCTCGTTCTTCGCCCAAAAGGCGTTTTACTGGTTTTATTTATTACCGATTACTAGAAAGATAATCTCGGATAAAGATAATTTGCGCGTGAGTGTAGTTATAAAATAACTGATAATAATATAGAAGCTCTAACTCCACTGAATGATGTGTGTTATGAAGTGTCGCATCTTGTTTTCACCTTTCGTGATCCTATGGATTGCGCAATATTCATCATCACCTGCACCGTTTATTATTTCTCACTCAAAGAAACAATGATATGCACGCAGACACATTCATATCAAATATTTGTTAGTTTATTCAAATCTCTCATTCATGTGGCGCAGTTGCATGTCTATACAATACATACATAAATGAAGCACTATCTAGTATCTAATAAACTATATGAAGTCTGAATATGTTAGTATGCATAATAAATAAATAAGTATGCTTCTAGAAGCACTAAAGAAAAAAAAACATGGTAAGCGAAGATCGGCTACCAGCCCACACAATGCGTCCTTCCCGACACCATTCAAAGTGTTGATGGAAATAAGAAAAGCTTTGTCTTCTAATTATTAATGCATTGCCAAATTGTAAAATTAGAAAACAAAACAAAACGTTTAAGATGTAATGAATTATTATTCCTTGATGATGGGCCACGCCCAAAACCGCTGATTTTAAATTCTATATTTCGGCAAAACTTGAATTATTGTGAAGTTCAGACCACCAGAGTCCGGCCCGGCATAAGTTTTGTCCTCTCAAAAGATATGCTCTCCAAGCTGCTATATAAATAAGAGGCAGCGATTCCTTTTAGCGTCCACTATGTTCCCCACGAACAGGGAGTTACGCACGAACACAATTTGACATGCTGACAGCTAGATTGTGCGGCACAGACAGCTTGAGTTTCGACCATGCCTGTTTGAGCTGCAACGGCAAGGCGCCGAGGCTGGCCGCCGGCTTCTGTTTGTCCAGGTCCTGCTGGACGATGGCCCCAAAATTCCTCAATCAGAATTATGTCCGGATGGTAGCCGGCTAGCGTCTCCGACCTTCAGAAGTCCGGTATATTCGATTCGCACCACCGCTGGGCCTTGGCAGAGCGATGAGCCGGCGCACCGTCCTGAATGAAAATGCATGTCGACCTTCCATCAACCATGCGTCGAATTAGAAGTGAGCCGCTGGAGGCTCTGATTGGTAATGAGACTCAGAGAGCTCTTCTTATAGCTTCTCACAATCCTGCCTGAAGATGGAATAGCCCTTGCGCGTAAGCCGCTTGGCCAATTTTGTCGCCAACTGGTCCCTCTCCCCTGCCGTCTTTTTCAACGCGATTTCTTTCACGGTCGAAACGGTAGACGAACGCCCAAACTGGAACGATCAGCAACGCTGCCAGTAGCCGTACCTATATGCTTGTCCCACCAACGCCGAACTGTGCAGGCAGATGTCGCAACTGATCAGCAATGGCTGCTATGTCATTTCGGCCTAAAGCATGCCGACTGTCTGGTTCAGCTCCCCAAGGTAGAAATTTCGGACCTCCATCTTTCAACGCGGCCGTTTGGGTGGACAATCTATGTGAAACTGGCCGTAGCTCGGTGATCCGTGATCCGAGGTCCGTTCCCGACCGCATGTCCCGCAACCAAGGACCGTGAAATGCAGGGGTGCGGCCAGAACCGTTATCCCTTAGGGGTAAAAACGATTAGGAATCGAGAAGTGTTGGTAGAGGACAAAACTTTTGCCGGACCCTGTATGTTAGTTGAAAATAGCTTTTACAAGCACTAATCCATTCTCCTCGTGACAAGAAAGCCCAGAATGAGAGTTGCTTTTAACACCCTCTTTCTTACATTCTCCGTCTACAGACACTACGGACTTGGTAAACATAGACAGCGAACAGAGACTGAGTGAATCAATACGTCATCAATGCAATGGCCGTTGGAGTTGTTGACGTCATCACGTTCAGCTGGGTCTGTTGCGTCACGCCGCGGTCTGGCCATCCTTGACGACAAGACTGTACTCTGGCGGCGCCTCGGAGACCTCCTGCTCTTGTGGCTCCTCTCGGGAGAAGGGCTGCACCTTGGAGCTCCAGAAGAACAGCTGATAGAAGCTGCTGAACAGGTGCAGAGCCACGGAGATGGACACAAAGTGCACCCACTCGTCTCGAGAGTCCTGCCGATGGAGGGAGGAGTGACGTCAAGGGTCTGACGTAACTGGAGGACTACTGACTTTCAGAGACAAGGATATGATGCTGCCGAAAAGGCATGCGGCCACCAATGACTAACAGCATGCTACTGTCCGAGAAGAAGGAGGGCTAATAAACTTAAAACTGCGACATATCATTGCTAACCACTGACCTCTGACCACTGAACACTAACTGCTGACTACCAACTATGACCAATGACCACTGACCGAGTGACCAACTGACCAGCGGCCAGTGGTCACTGCCCAGTGACCACTAACTGGTCACAATGACCGTTGACAACTGACCAGTGACTGTCCTGACTGACTGACTGACTCACGTTGGGCGTCATGGCGGCCAGCAGGGGCGGGATTACGAAGCCGGGCACGTTACCCAGGCAGGCGGCGATGGAGAAGATGGTGGCCGTGTACAGGGGGCCGATGTCCGACGAACCGCTGTACGGGCCTGGCGAGGCAATACAGCGGTCAGGGTGAGGCAACATTGGAGCAAACGGAACGGACTAAAAAGGCTAGTAAACATCTGATGTCTGGCTGCGCTTGAAGTGTTTTCGCTTTGCAACTGGTATGAATGCTGCATAGTGAGGCGATGGTAGTGTTACTGTCAAGATGCAACAAACTACATGATGGAGTGACGGACTAACACTGTGCGCTTGATATCACAGTACGCTCCATCGCCAGGCCACCAGCCGAGGGCCCAATCGCCTTCATGTGATAGTTGGCGCTTCGGCCGCGAGCCAAGCTCTCACCACGCAATAGATGTCGCCTCGGTTGCGCTAACTCACCTCCAGTGAAGACGCAGGCGGTGAGGCCGATACTAAGGACCAGACAGGTGACAGCGGCTGCCCGCTGCTCCCTGGGCAGCAAGACAGCAGCCAGCAGCAGGAACGCCGGGAAAAAGTTACCTGGCGAGGGTCCGGTTCGAAGTGGTCAGAACAAAGGGGTGTAGCAGTATTTGCCGTCTCACAGCAACAGCCAACAGGGATCAAACGGGCACTCAGTTGTCAGAGATGCTTGGTCCTTCATTATGTGCAGTCCTTAGTCTAGCTACCAAGTAATCTTGCGCAATACAACCATCAGCCCGCTTTACTTTTCAGTTTATTATATGATAACATGTGAGTAATGCGTGCGTTTTGGTTGCACTACTGCCCTATTCATGACACACTTGCACACATATGCATACAAACAATTTCACCACGTTCCACTTACTGAAGAAGTTGAAGCCCTTGCGCAGGGTGGTCTTGGACACGCCCCTGACGGTGTTGAGGTAGGTGAAGAGCCGGCCGGTGAGGATGGAGATGACCGTCAGAAGAAGGTACGGCGCCGCCGAGATGGCTCCGTTCTGAAACAGAACGGCATGACAGGTGAGCGACGTAATTTGGCATGGTTTCGTTCAGAAATCAACATGACACGGTGGAGTGCGAGGCTTACGGCACTGCACTTGCTAGCAGAGCTCGGTTCGACGGGGTACGGCAGGGACGGCACTGCACTCCGCATCTGACAAGTGACATCCACATCAGCATTCCCGTGCTATGCGGTGTCTGTCTACTCGTATGCACGAGGGTCAGAGTGGAGGTCGAGTCGGGAAGAGAGTGCAAGAGACACAGTACAGTGCAGCGGAACGCTGACGACTATCGGTTGTCTTTATCATATGTCATATGCACTATGCATGCAGCGAACACCAATATGTACTGACATCTATCGTACAGCGATTAGTGAACGAAAAACTTCTATCTGGTTGGGATGCTATCATAATGTCAAAAATGGCCAGATTAATGGATAATTTTTCCCCTTCATAACGGGGTTAAGAGAAATGCGAGTCCAGTTTGGATTTATGTTTCCAAGAACATGAGTTTAAGTCTCAAGCTGAAACACTCAAGGACTTGTCGATGCAAATATAATGCATGTCGCCACTTTTCCTTAAGAAAAAAGCGATTTTTTGTCACGACAGCTGTTACAGTATAATTCGTGACCCTCTTCCTCTGACCTGCGACAGGTCAAAGTCCATGAAGGTCTTCATGAACTGCGGCATGGCGATGGTGGACGAGTACAGGTTCCAGAGGCCGATGGTGAACGCTATGGCCACGTTCCACACTTGGAAATTGGTGAAAATCTTCAGCAGCGGCACCGACTTGCTCTGAGGATAAATGTGGAATTGTTACTGGTCGTATGTAAACATTCATTTAAATAACCTACCCGGTTTGGTTTCAGCAAGCTTTTAGATAAACATCCATTTGAGCGTTGCATATAAGGTAAGCGGTAAAAAATGTATTTGATACATTTTCAAGCTGGATTTTCTACGGTGGAGTCCAAAATACCTTACTTGCATTCCAACGAAGAAGAGCTGCGCTTGGATATGTACTTTGAACATTTTAATTGTTTTTATTTATGTATAGTATGGTCTATTTTCATCTAACGTTTACTCCGAGCAGTTGAGAGTCGCCCGCACCTCCCTGCCCGTTCTACACTCCCGAGACTGCTGTCCCAGTCCCACCTTGCGCGCTGTGCCCGTGCTGGCCTGGCAGTGCTGGAAGCTGTCCCGCTCCAGCCCGCGCACCAGGCCGCTCTCCAGGGGGTCGTTTCGCACCAGCACCACCGCCAGCACCATCCACGCCATCGATATAATGCCTGAAACAATGGGCACCATCAACTATTTCAACTGTTCATTTGTAATTCATTACTGAGGCGTAATACATTTATAGGGCGGGCAGCCTATAATCGTACTGCACAGTGCATATGTAAAACATATGCACTGCAGTAAACACTTGCATGGTCATGAGCTAGCTATCCTTTTGCTGATGATGTATTATGTAGGAGTAGTACATACCTATGTTGCTTGAGCATATAATCGCTGTATTGCGCTTTTAGAAAGCGTTGATGCCAATATAAGTCCCAGAAGAATACATTTGATATTTCTGGAAGGGAACGTCACCGCTCACTTTTGAGGAGAGCGATGAAAACGCATTTTCTATAACCGCGGGATGTCCAATTCCATACTCTCAAAAAAAGTTTTATCAATATTTCGCCCGGTGACATGTATCTACGTATTTACGTTCGGATAACTTTCAAAGTGGTCATTGAGACCGCATTCGATTAAATATCACGATAACAAATTTCAAGAAGGTACATACATATGCTCTTAGCAATACACTTGAACTAAAGGTGCACTTTGAAAGACCGTCGATTTTTTGAAAATGATACAGGGCCTCAATGCATTAACCCATTAGCGCTCGGCGGATCAAAAATGGACGATGTCTTTGAAAGGTGCCACGGTTCACCGGTTTCGTCGGAGGGGTCTGTCGATCCCTGTTGATTGATGAGAAAGGTTACCTGTAGATGGTTATCTGGGAACTGAGGACCACGACCCCCAGAACTTTATTTGGTGGGGTCCTAAAGTTAGCGATTTCTCGATATTACGACACGAATGCAGTGAAATGGCTGCATTTCGGTCATTGTTCTAAGCAATGAGACAGCAAGCTAATATTATACAGAGGAAGGTCCACTTTTGCTAAATCCGTTGGCGATAAAAGGCTCACTACGCCCCGGCGGTGCGTGGCGCGCGCGAAATTTTGAGCGACCAATTTGGACTCACCGGTCCTGTGGTCAGGCCCGCGCACAGCTGGTGGCGGGCGCGGGGATTCCCGGATAGCGGCGGCTAATGACGGGGAGGGTACGCCGGTCAGTTTGTCGCGAGAGGGCAGAAAGTGCGATTATGTCATATTTGAGATTGTAATCTTCCATCTGTGGAACAGAAACGATCACAATGCCGCGGGAGCGGTATTTTGACTCTACAGGAAGCCGTAGACATGGTGATGAGCGATCTCGATTCTCCATGGTGATATCCATGGTGATATCGATGTGTTGAGCATTCCGCCGGACGACAGTGACGAGGATGAGGGCAATGACGAATGCACCGGTGTCGCTGAGGTGGCAGACGTGCCTGGCGAAGTGGAAGTTCATTTCCAGACACCGCCAACTGAAGACGACACGCCTCCGCCGAAGAAAAAACGACGCACGGATCAAGGCGCTCCCACCTGGCGTAAAAAAAAAACAACCGGAATACACTGGCTGGCAGGTGCCTTCTAACGGACCGGAAAAAGCTCGGGAGAAGATCGCCAGCGAGCTGAGTGGGAGTACGGCTGTGGAGATTTTTGAGAAAATATTTACACATGAAGTGTTCCATCCCATCCAGCTGGAAACCCTTCGGTATGCGAGAGATGTAAAAAACGACCAGCTTTTTCTCTCTATCAGACCATGAGCTGAAGGCGTTCATCGGAATACTGCTCTATTCCGGCTATAACACGTTCCCCAGCGAGCAAATGTACTGGTAGAAGGACGACGACCTCGCCCGTCCTATCGTCCGGCAAGCGATGACAAGATCGGATTACCTGAAAATCAAGTCCTACCTTCACGTCCAGGGCAGCAATAGGTATACAGCACGAAAGACCGTAGCTTCAAGGTGCGTCCGCTTCTGGATACCATCAACAAGACTTTCCAGCAGTTTGGTATTTTTCAGTCCAAGCTAGCCGTTGACGAGATGATTGTGAGGTACTACGGTCACAACAGCTTGAAGCAGTTTATACGAGGAACGCCGATTCGTTTTGGCTACAAGCTCTGGGCGGTTTGTGGCAGTGACGGATACTGCTACAAATTCGACCTGTACTGTGGAAAGGAAGAGCGTCCTGAGCTGCGTGACCAGCCGCTGGGCACGAGAGTGGTGATGGACATGCTGAGCATGGTGTCGGATCCTGGTGGTCATTAGGTGTTTTTTGACAACCTTTTCACCTCCAGAAGCCTCCTCGCGCAGCTGAAGGACCGCGGAGTCCGCGCGACAGGCAAAGTGAGGGAAAATAGACTGGACAAATGTCCCGTAACCGAGAGGAAGGAGATGGCAAAGTCACGGCGTGGCAGCTACGAACAGAGGTTCGACAGGACGTCGGAGGTGCTGCTGGTCAGGTGGCACGACAACCGATCGGCGCGGGGCGGGGCGGCCCCGCGCCGCGCCGGCCGCGGAGGCGGCGCGGCGGCCATGGGAGCGGGCGCCCGGTGGCTCATTTTGGGTCGGTATCGTATCTCAAAAAGTTTTTGGAATTTTGGCCTAATTTTTTTTCAGGGCTTCTTAATCACCCGAATTCGACACGAAATCCAAAAAAGCATTATGACTGAATACTTGTTTCTATGCTCGGGCGTTAATAGGTTAATGTTAACTGCGTCCGTCTGCGTCCATTATAGCTTCCGAGCATCTGACCCGCTATGTGGCGCGTCACCCGTCATTCCTTTTAAGCGCGATTCACTAACATGCCTGGTTGTCTGTTTGTTGGTTTTGAACATTTTACAGCTCGAATAAAAGCGTAAACGTTAAAAAAAAACGTTGCAATTCCAACCGAAGCATTCACTTATGCTCCGCACCCCGCAGTGTCACTTCTAAGCCATATTTTCCCCATTAGCGGCAGTGTGCTCTAGTCTCCCCTTTCAGCAAATCTCGCTACTGTCAACAGTGGAAATCATCCCGATAAGGTTCGACCACTTAACGAGTCTTGTCTGGCCCGAGTCTTGTCTGGCTTAACGAGTCTTGTCTGGGTGGGGTGGCCCTCCTACACTGAGAAAAAAAAATTATTCCCCAGGGGTGTTTTACGGGTGTCAGACACCATTGGAGGTGTCATCGAACACCCAGATTGGTGTTGAAAAATGCTGTTTAGGGAATCATTAAGGTGTACAACACCACGATGACACCCTTTCAAGTGTTCGTTCGCATGCGAGCGTTTAGATATACCTTAATGGGATTCAGCATGACACCTTAATAGGTGTCCGACACCCACACCCATCCGGGTATCAAACACTCTAAGGTATCAAACACCCTAAAAGGTGTCAAAAATGTTCTTTTAAAAGCATCTGACACCCTTATGATGCCTTCACAGGTGTTGCCATTTATTGAAGCGGAATGTTAAGAGTGTCCGACACTGCTAGAGGTGTCACATTGACACTTGCAAAAGTATCTGACACCAAAAACAGCGTGAAAAAAATGAGGAAAAATATTCCCATGGGGTGTCTCACGGGTGTCGGACATCATTGCAGTGTCATATATAACGCCCAGATTGGTGTCAAAAATGTTGTTTTGGGAATCATGGAGGTGTACAACACCACGATGACAACCTTCAAGTGCAACGCGCTTTTAAACACACCATGATGGGATTCAGAAAGACACATTAATGGGTGTCCTACACCAACATCCATTCGGGTGTCAAACACCCTAAACCATCAACACTTCAAAAGGTGTAAACAAAAATGTTCCTTAAAAGGGATCTGATACCCTTGTGATACCTTCACGTGTGTTGTCATTTGTTGAGGAACATTCCAGCATGAGTCATGAAATGTTTGAAAGCTGTCGTGTATTCGAACCTAAATCATCACATAAATTGTTCTGACGTCACTTGTGTTAGGAACCAGGGATGCGGTGTCTAACGGATTTTCAGTGACTCGCACTCCCGCTCTGTCTTCCAAAATGGACTCCTATTCCGGCCAGAACTGCCAACTCCATCAGACTCCGACTCTGACTCCGTAGCACTGCTAGAAACCACAGCAGGTCCAGTGGTTTGAATCATTACCCAATCAGCAAGCTTCATTGTGTGACGTCATTTGTGTGCTAGTCACGGCGTCAACCATGCGAAGATCAAAAAGCGCCACCTTGCAGGAAAGCCGTTAGATTTCAGTTGGCGGCGGCGTGCCACGTGGTGCGTGTGCGGTGTGAGTGATGGCAGGGCTTTTTTTAATTTATGTGGATATAGTGGCGCCGAACGTTGTTCGCAGTGTACAGGGTGACACAAAAAAAGCGGTCATCACCAAAATTCGAATAACTTCGGAAGTTTTATTCAGATCATCACCAAACTTCGGCCACTTTAAGTCACACCTATGTAGCAGACATCCACCAAGTTTCAAGTCTTCACTACGAATACTTTTAGTACAGTGTGTGTTTTACGGACGCTCCACAATGTGCTCCAGGTGAGCGCCCCGGCGCTGCAGGGCGTAGGCACACCTGCATCCGGCGGGCAAAGTTGCCGGTAACCCGATAAGAATAACGTTTCAGGGGTAGCACACCCCCTGAGCACTGTCTCCAGAGGCCATTGCACTCTGTAAAGTGCACAGCCATCGGGTTATCGACAACTTTGCCCGCCGGATGCAAGTGTGCCTACACCCTGCAGCGCCGTGGCGCTCACCTGGAGCACATTGTGGAGCGTCAGTAAAACACACACTGTACTAAAAGTATTCGTAGTGAAGATTTGAAACTTGGTGGATGTATGCTGCATAGGTGTGACCTTAAGTTTGGTGATGATCTGAATAAAACTTCCGAAGTTATTCGAAATTTGGTGATGACCGTTTTTTTTTTGTGTCACCCTGTACTTCTTCAAGTGATTGTGCGTTAATGATAATGTTTAGCTTTTATTTGTAGCTTGCTCCGTGTTTATTCAAATGACGAGGCGGGCGGTACTCGGTGAAATTTGAAGTCTGGAGTGAGGATGACAACACAGCATTGCACCATGGAAACGAAAGCAAGTGAACTGCGGAATAACATCTGGTTGGAGATAATCGACGGTTAATTATCATTGCTGAAATGCGAGCAACTTCTCACTGTGAATGGACCCGATGTGTTTCGGTGAGTTTTCATTGGATTTCTCCGTAAATATAGGGCCCATATTTTTTGTACTTTATACACGGAGAAAAATAATTACTCCCCCCGGGAATCACGATCCCCTATTTGGGAATCAACTGACACCCATGGTGTAATCCGATTCTGAAAAGCAGTGTCCATACACCGTTTTTTAGTGTAAATTGATCTCGGTCAGAATCACATACCCAAGGGTCATTTGACTCCCAAAATTTTGACTCCCATTTTAGGTGTCGTGTCAAAAGATCCTGCACGGTGTCAGTGTAAAATGACACCTCTAAGCGTTTTTGACGCTATCATGAGGAGTTTTTATATCCTATAGGTGTCATTTCACACAGTTGAGCGTTTTCGCAATCCGTGACTCCCTTATAAGGTGTAATTTGATCCTCAGTGGTGTCATAATATTCCGTTCAATTGACTTATTGAGTGTAATTTGACCCTCGGTAGTGTCATAATATTCCGGTGTCATTTGAGCCCCATTGGGTTCAAATGACACCGGAATATTATGGCACCACTGAGGGTCAAATTACACCTAATAAGCGAGTCACGGATTACGAAAACGCTCAACTGAGTGAAATGACAACCATAGGCTTCAAAAACTCCACATGATATTATCAAAAAACACTACATTATTACAGAAGTTGTTTTGACGTCACTGGTGGTAGGAACCAACACTGCAGAATCAAGAGATTTTCGGTGAATCAGACTCCGAATCCAGCTCCGGCTTCCAATATCGACTCCGACTACGGCCAGAACTGTCGTTTCCAACCGACTCCGACTACGGCCAGAACTGTCGACTCCAACGGACTCCGACTCTGACTCCGTAACCCTGGTGTAGGTTCAGTGATTTGAGTCAATGCCCCGAGTGACGTCATGTGTGTGCTGCTGGTCCGCCACGAAGATGAAATAGGCCAATCAGCAGGCTGCATTGTCTTGTGACGTCATTTGTGCTAGCCGGTCCACCACGAAGACGAAATAGTGCGACCTTGAGGAAAACCGTTAGAAAGCCGTTGGACTTCAGTTGCGCGCGCGGTGAGCCACGTGGTGTGTGCGGTGTGAGTGAGGACAGAAATTATTTGAATTTACCTGCTTGTAATGTCGCAAAACGTTGTTTGAAGTGTAGTTTTGTTTCAAGTGATAGTGCATTAACGATAAAGTTCAATTTTTATTTGTAACTTGCTCTGTACGTATTCAAATAAGGAGGCGCCCTGCACTCGGTGAAATTATGAAGTGAGGACAGTAAGATTGCAATGCACTATGGAAACGGAGATAAGTTTTTATGTCATTAAGCTGCAGAATAACTCTACCTAAAGTAAGTAGCAATAATCACCGGTTGATGGAACATTGTTGAAATGTGAGTAATTCCTTACGGTGAATGGAGTCACGGACCCATGCGCCTTACGATAAGTTTTCATTAGATTTCGCCATACATTTCGTGCCCAAATGTTTTGGAATTTATTGTTGCATATAAAATAAAGAATGACATGCATGTATTGTTTATTTGCGTCACGTGGTTAACAACTGCAATTATGACTCTGTTGGAGAGTGTATTTTGATCCCATAAGGTGTATGATTCCGAGAATCATTTGACAATATCTGGTATAGAGACTGATTGAACAGAAGACGTCATCGTCAATAGATAAACTTGTAGCTGCAAGGGTGAAGACGCATGTAAGCTACATTTAAAGTCTCGTTGCAGTCTGGCTAATCGTTCCTATAAGCTTCAGAAGCAGAACATACCCATGGGTATGTTGGTTAGTTGTACCATACTATTGGTCTCAAGATAAGGGCCCAGGCGACCTGTTTTTCTGATGCGATGAATACATTTACCGTTTATACCCTCGCCGCAGCTCGGTTCGAGTGCATCCCTCACCCCTGCACACAACCCTATCCCCGCACTCGAATATTACCGGTATTTCTCATATAGGAGACCAATAGTACCGGTATAGTTTGTTGCTGTATACAAGATAGGAATGCCATTGTATGCGATATGCCTGTTTGAACCAATAAATGTAAGAATGTGTCGACACCTTTTTTGGCATCCAATGGACACTCTCGTAACACCTTTAAGGGTGTGTACCAAACTGCACCTCGCTGGGGTGTCAGACGGGTGTCACTTTTGACACCAATACAGGTGTCATTGGGAATCAAACACCGGGTGTCTGACACCCTTTTGGGTGTGCACCCAAAAGGGTATCAGACACCTAAAAGGGTGTCAGACACCCGGTGTTTCATTCCCAATGACACCTGTATTGGTGTCAAAAGTGACACCCGTCTGACACCCCAGCGAGGTGCAGTTTGGTACACACCCTTAAAGGTGTTCCAGGGGAATAATTTTTTTTCTCAGTGTAGTCCTCCGTAGACCGCCAGCGGGGCGGCATTGGCCCTCCCCAGTCCCCAGTTACCTGTGACGGTATCGGGCGGGATACTCCGCTCAAACGGTTCGGCGTGGAGTGGAAGGGTGCAAGGGGGATTGAAGATGGGAGCCAAGAGTCGTAACTGGCGCCCTCAAGATGGGTTCCGGAGTCTTAGCGTAAGGAATACTACACTGATTCTGAGAGGAATAAACCTTTTTCGATGGATATCATGTTGAACGGTCTTTTTTGCAAAAAGAATCTATAAATATACAATTGGTATGTTCTTCACAAACCGAAATTAAACTTTTCTGCAGTACCACATCAGTGCCTAAAACAATTGCGTCCTCACGACAGCTCTATTTTCCTTTCAAAACTTTGAGAATGGATTATTTGTTATAGTGTTTAAAGTCATCCGTTTTCTCTGCTATTCCTTGCAAGGTAACAATACCAGTTGCTCCAAGTAGTAAAAGCGCCTCAGTTGCAACACTGTCGAACCTTTTGTAGCGCGCACTAGCAATGAAAGTGAATGACAGTGATTCTACAGATTGTAGATTGTCGATCTACATTATTCACATGTACCTAGGGGCTGTGCACTGTGCAGTGTGCGGTGTATGTATATATGTATATACCTTTTCTATTCATTGTATACGGTACAATGAATAGAAGTTAAAAACACGAAGACACAGTAACTTCATACTGAGGACATCTGATCAGAACGTGATCATTCAGCATTATACGTTATCGCTTCATTTTGATGCATCAATCTTCAATTTTACTTTATATTAAGCGATGCAGTGCTGATTTCATGGATTTTTGGTAGTGCTTACTTACCTAAGTAATGTCTAAGGTAACGACGGAGGCTATCGCTGATATTTGTTTACCTGCCACGTAGAACACGCCCGGCCACCCCCAGCTGGACTGGCAGAGGGCAGTAGCCAGCGGGAAGTTGAGCGCAGTACCCAGGTAGAAGCCGGACCAGGCGATGGCAAACACAGTGGTGTATTCTCCGGGCAGCGACCAGCGGCGTGATACGGCTGGCATAGACGGAATGATGACGCACTGGAGCACGGGGGGAGCAGGAGGGTCAGGCGGAGGGAGAGAGAGAGAGAGAGGGAGAGAGAGAGAGAGAGAGAGAGAGAGAGAGAGAGAGAGAGAGAGAGAGAGAGAGAGAGAGAGAGAGAGAGAGAGAGAGAGAGAGATTCATTATAACTATAGTTTATACTATGGATGTATAAACTAAGCGAAACTGTAAGCTGGCTTGAGTTTGAAATTCAGCACACGCTCGGCACATAACATTGGTCATTCATTAGTCAATTGGTTATTCATTGGTCAACAGACAGGTAACTCACGTTTGTGGCACTGAGAATAACCCGATACCTACATGATCGGCCGGTTTACTTTACTCACGTTTGTGGCTCCAAGGATGGCGCGGCACATGATGAGCAGACCGCTGTGAAGTCGCGTCAGCTCCGGTATGGCCAGGGAGGTGACGCCGGCAGTAAACATGCCGCTCAGGAGCATGGCACGGGCGCCGTACCTGCGCGTGGAACAAGTGGTCAGCGGCTTGGCTGCAGGGCCGAGAGTGGTAGGAATCTCGTAGCTTACCATATGATGCATGCAACTTGCCTCCAATTTACATGCATGCCATTTTTCTACAGCTTTCTTACTATGGGAAAATTTGGTTGCTGCAAGTGCATAATGATGACTTTGATTTTACAATTTTGTTGTGCATGCTAGTTGTGTACCTTATGCATAAATGTATTTTAGTTTTTTTAATGCTAGTGAACTCGATTGCCATCAACTTAACATTTCTGTTAGAAGTGAAAATCAAACCCCTATCAAACTACTTTTTTCGATGCGACACAGCATTTCAGGTCTGTAGGTGATTGCAAACTGACCTGTCGACAAGCCATCCGCCTGGCACAAGAAAAATTACGAATGCGTAGAAATACGTAGCCGTAATCCATCCTTGGTAAGCCTTGTCCCAATCGAATTCGCCCTGATGAACCTGAGAAAGACGTTCGAATTCACACATCAGACCATAGTGTAAAGAATGACGTTGAGATAATCTGAAGTGGGCTGCTGTTGATGGGAAACTTCCCCGCGTAAGATGACGTGCTTTCGTGGTATGTGACAGACAGCCGCAGAGACGGCTGAAACCGAAGGGACTTTTCCGAGCTGCATTCCGAGAAAATCATGGGTCTGCAGTGCAGGAATGCAAAGCTGAGAGTGAGGGCTTATGCTGCTTGAAAGGATCTTACAATCGTTTGCTCCATCACATTTTACTAAGTGCTCTCTCTCATCATTTTAGGCGAAAATGGTTCCATGACATAATACCTACAGCTGAATTGTGATGAGCACTGAGCAGATATACGAATGATATCTCATCGGTTTGAAATTGGGTTACATATCACTTTTCGTTTTCGTTTACACGAATGAAAATTGAAACCTCACCGCTGTGGCATTGGGTGAGGCATCGGCACCGCTCTGGCCGGCGCTGGTCGTGTTGGATCCGTCGTTGACCATGCAGAGGAAGGCAGTGCCGACGTTGAAGCGGATCATCAGCGTGATCAGCATGGCCAGATGCAGGGTGACCGACACGGCGAAACGCACCGACGAGAAAAATCGCACTGTGGGAGGCAGTGGAGGGAGAATAGTGAGCGCGGCGGCGGTAATAGTGGGGAGGTGCGAAGGACAATGTAGATGTAGAACATTCAAAGAATGTGAAAAAAGTTTGTAAAACAAAGCAAAAGTGTGACTGCCTTTGCCCTTTTCACGGACAAAGTAAATGAACAGATGTCTGTTCTGTAAAAGTGTAAAAAAACTGTAAAGATGATTCTGTAAAAAATAAGGTTTTACATTTATTACTGATGTTTTATGCTTACGCCAATAGTCTTGCAAATTATGCTACACCGCTTTTCAGGTCAGTGGAAGTTGAAAGATCTTTGAGTTTCGGTGTTTGAATGCACCCACCACCCCTGTCACTTCCGCCCTGTCCACCTCTCGTCACTGACGCCTTGACCGATATAGCTGCTCTGTGCAGTTCCTGTACCGCCCGGGCCTCACACGGAGGAGGGCGAACACAGTCGTGAGTCTCAGGTCTGTCACGACCATACGATGTAAGGACTCGATTACCATTTGGAGTGCAGTCAATACTCGAATCTTTTAAAGGTAGTGTGCCACCTTTGAAAGATTTCCCATTTTATTTTTCCTAGGATAAGAAGCTTCTGTTTTTACCTAATATCGCAAAAAAATCAAAAATGGGCCTGGAATAGTGCCTTTTTCGCCTAAAAGTTTATCGGTTTTTCGATATGTATAACAACTTTAGTGGGCTGACCTGCAAACAGGCGTCGGCAAGTGGCAACAATCGCGAATGCGGCGCACATGTGACAATAAGCAAAGGTCATTATAGAGTTACGACGTACGGGAATGAGTTATCAGCTGTCTAATCGTAGACAACACAATGTCGAGCCTTAAACTGTAAGCCTGTATTGGTATTGTTTGTTTTATTTGGCTGTCGAACATTGTTTATGGTTTGAAATATGATTTTATGTAAAATAATTGATATGAAAAAAGCCGTCTCTAAGTTATGACCCCATTTCACCACACGCAAGTGGCAGAAATGACAATGATCAGCTGACGCATTTTTCTTGGCCGAAGTCAGAGCGCGCGGCCCGACGCACCACCACCGCACCACAAAGTATGAGCAGAAGCCGCGCCCAAAGCCAGGGCCCCGGTAACGTGAGGTAGCCGAGTCGGGGCAGCGTGCGCTGACCCAAGCCGGGGCCGCAGCTTTGGGCGCGGTCTACCGCATCCCCGCGGGCAGCCCCGGGCTATCACATGACACCGGGAGGACGCGCGGCCCCGGCTTGGGTCAGCGCACGCTGCCCCGACTCGGCTACCTCACGTTACCGGGGCCCTGGCTTTGGGCGCGGTCTACCGCACCACCTAACAGGCGTGTTCGAAACCGCAGGAGATGATGATGAACGGGTTTATCGAAACTTGATTGGATGAGCATATCGGTAATAGCGATTTCAGTGTGTGCATTTATTGTTCATAGTGGTGTGAAATGTGGTTGGGGTACGACCGACAACCCGTCGGGGCGAATTTCGCACTGGGGTACTCAAAATTTGAAGAATTTCAGACGTTTCCATGAGTTTTGAAGGTATGGATAAGTTCTAAAAATCCGGTTCTCCTTATCTGGGCCATTAACTCCATACGGTCCAGGAAAGCTGGCACACTACCTTTAAGGGTCCATAACGCAGTTATAGCAAAATCGTGTACCTATTGGAGTTCTGACAGCGCATGCAAACTTCAAACTTGGATGGTTTCGGATTTAGCGTCTATCCATAAATAAACCCAAAACATGATGTGTGTTAACGAAAACTATCAAACAAGCGTTTACGCTATCACGGCATCGGACACTATCATCTCACGCGCTATTTCCAGATCACATTTATTTCAGTCCCTAATGAGTTCAGTTATCCCCCCCCCCCCCCGACATCGGCCCGGTTTCCGGCGACTGATTGTTACGACCTTTCCCCCGCCAGGGTCAGTGTGACGGTGCACGAAGGCGGCACACGCCCCCAGCCAAGGAGAACCACTGTGCTGCACTCGGGTCACGGAGGGGGGGGGGGGGGGCGTGCACAGGACGGGGGGGGGAAGCGATAGGCGAGGCCGGTTCGTGCTGAAATTCAGAGACTAAGGTTCCATTGTTTTGTATCCAACGGGTCTCATGATTGATTGCAGACACACATTCGTATATTAACCCTCGCATGTGTAGGGGGGGGGGGTCGGATGGACCCCCCATGGTTTTTCGCGAATAACTCGCGTAAAAAGCGGCCGATCGCGACGAAACTTTCAGTACCCTCACATTGATCAATTTTACACCTACCCTGAAAGTTTCATGACCCTGACCCAAATGACCTTTGACCTGTGACCTCTTTTCCGAGACCATGTTTGGCCGGAATCGCGATTCTGCGTATGTCGGCTCGCATTAGCCGCGCGTTTGCAAGCTTTTCGTGGTTTCAAACGTTCAAACATGTGATTTGATGTTGCTTCCATGCATTAGGGTGGGTGTCGAGGTCACCTGAAGGTCAGGTCAGGTCATTGACCTTTGGTGACCTCGGGTGACCTCGGTTCACTTTTTCGAGCTGTACATGTTTCTAGGCTAGTTTTTGGAGCTGAATTCGAATTTAGCAACCATTTGAACATTTACGAAGTAGTTTTGGTGCCTTCGTAACATGTTACGAAGCTGTCAGAGGCGGTTGACACGTACTACGAGTACCCGTCACGACAGAGGTGAAAAAAATGTCTACGCTGTCTCCAACTGTATAAGCTGGCATACTGGCTCTGTCTCCAGGCAAATTGTAAACTTTTTTGGTTGAGCAGCACACGAAGCCCTTATTTATTCAACCTTTACAACTTTCTGGCTTTGAAAGACACTCAATCAAGTTCTGTTAGATTAAGGTGAAGTATTTTCAAGAGCTGAAAAAGGATCAAAAAGTAGAAACAGAATATTTTGGATTTTGGAGTTGCTTTTGGGACGTGTTCCTTTTATACCTTCAAAAACTTTCTGCCATCTTTCTGCCATCTGGACCCAACAATACCCATTGGAAGACTGGTTGTGTTTATGCTGTGTTCCCATGCCTTTGAACCGCAGTTATCACGAATGCCGCGAACAAATGCGAAGGGTGTATTTGTTTCTGGGATAGACTAGGTAATGGCTAGCCTTTATGCTTTAATCGCGAGGTTAACTCAAAACGATTGAACCGATGGTTTACCAATGCTTATAGAGCTTGTGTCAGACCAGACAAAATCAGCCAAGCCCTGCGTCAGTCGTCCTGGACCAACCGTTCGATTACGGACGGTCCGCGTGGCGTTCGCATTGGAGTCCGCCTGATAAAAGACGCCGTTGTACCATTTTATGGCACACAGATGTTACGGTCGGTCCTTGGGCAATGTGCAGCAGTGTGGAGGCTGTGAGGGGATCGGCTAGACGTGTGTGTGTGCTGGTGGCTGCTCTCCTTCATCTACACAAAGGCAAGGTAATTGAAATTTTCAACTTACTTTGCTGTTAAATCAGCAATGCTTATGAATACAATGGGTGTTATTTTCCTAACATAAAAGCCGGACGCAAGTATCAGCTTTCGAAAGGACTATCCCTTCGGAGGTCGGCACTTCAAACAAATCGTAAGAATTACCTACGAACAAATTTAGGTTAGCAGGGCGTTCAATCATTTCTATGTATACCTAAAACAGACAAAAAAGCAGGCTAGCACTGCACTTGTGGGCATCATTACCGGGTGTTATTCCAAAACAGAGGGCTAGTCATGAATGAGCAACACGCAAATGCCTTAATTTGCCTACCAACTCTCCAATTAAAAGCAAGTTATATAAGGTAACGTCGCGCCTGCCTTAAAATGACTCGCGGATACTCCAGGCAAATTATTTATACCAACCTTGTTTATAAACTGCAATGCTGCCCGTCGTCCCCGGATACCCCTCCCCACCCCCTGCCGCCCGCTCCCCGGCCCGTCCGCCACGGCCGGGCCAGGCCGGCCCGTGGCCTCGGGATCCGCCGACCTTCAGTGTAGGTGGCGCTACTGCCAACTGCCGGACCGGGGCCGTACCAGCCGCCATGGCCACCGTTGGCAGGTCGAGAAATGCAGAACTGCAACTTGCAAGGGACTGATTTGGCTACTGGAATGAAGTCATGCATTGATAATGAAAACGTCATCTGGCATATCCCTACTATTTTAAAGCTATAATTACCTTTGAATAAATGCTTCCTCTGCCATGCAGAAATCTAAGGCATGGGAATAAGCCAATGAAAATAGCAGATTTACATTGATATAAGCACCAATGAAGACTTGGATTGTTTTAAATCATTGAGATGCATGCACATATCTAGACTGATCTCTGGCCTTACCTGATAGTGTCAGCAAGATGGGTGCTTTGATATAGACCACCAAGATTTGATATTTGTAAAATCAAAATGATGAATTTGGAGTATTTGCTCTTCACTTCCAACAGGCAGTCCAGAAATGGTTCAATAATATAGGTAAATGCTTGTTGCAAAATGCAAATGCTTGCATTGAAGCTGTGCACCTCAATCTGCAAATATTAAACCATGTGGTTTGTATAATGGGTACATAGAAACAAGTTTTACACATCATGGGCTGATGCTAGGACCATCTAGGATAAGAAACAACATCAAGCTTAAATAAAACTTCTTATGAATACCTAATCTAAAATTCTTGAAATTCAAAGAGAAGTGCAATCAGCAACAGAAACTTCAGGTTTGTCTTTTCCTTTTGAAGTATTTGTAGAATAAAATGCAATCAATGTATTGTACCACCTTCACATGCATTCCTAAATCAGTCAATCAGAAGTCAGAACTGAACTTTGAACTGAAATATAAAACAAATGAAAGGAAAACGACTGTTTCTGCATCAACTATATAATAAAAATCATTCACAAGGGATTTTGTACAATAGGTATATGTTACTTTTGTTTGAAAAGTTCGATATTTCCTCAGTACCTATTGATTCCTCAACTTTGATAATTTATTCCCCAACCTCAACCATTGCCTTATTTTAGTCTTACCTAGGTAGATCCAACCAAGATCCAACCACTCTCTTTCGTCACTTCAAGCACACTTCACTGTCGCTACTATCCCAACGGTATTTTCAGAAGCTGCGCCGCGTTGTCACAAGTGCGCAGGGTTTGTGCTAGCGTTTTCGCTACTGAAATTTTTTCGTGTCTCCGGAGACAGCCGTAAGGTCTAGTTTCGCGGCAAGCGTCACAGAGAATCGTCTTTATGGATTCCGCCCGGCTCTAGGAGTCATCACCTTCTCACCACCTTCTGTCTCCGGTGTCTCCGGGGCAGCCTATGCATACTGTATAGTGTATAGTGCTCTGTGCTATGGAGTATAAAGTTCTCGTAATGATTTAACTTTTAAGACTCAATATGATTGATTTTTTTAGCGTGCATCAAAGAAAAACGAGAAGAATTTGACGACAACAATGAAAAGAGATTATTAGATATCTTAAAGTGGTTGTGTCTCCGACGACCTTCCTTTACTGGATTGACTCTGTCTCCAACACCGGTTGGAGAGTTGACATCTTTTTTCACCTCTGCGTCACGATGCCTACTGGTTGACCTGACCTGACCTGACCCGACCTGGTCTAAATGCTTAAAGACATCATCTCTGATCAAAACTAACACGATATTCGTGATCAGCACCCCGAAATACCCCTTAGCAGCCACACTTTACGACTTTCTAACAGGTCCCGATTTTCCCGACTTTGGGTCATTGACCTGACCTGGAAGGTCACCCAATGACCTAGGACCTTAAAATTGGGTATCATCGGCTTCCTCTCGTACGCCGCACACATGCGAGGGTTAAAAACCGGTTGTTTTCACGATTGATTGAATTCGCCTTGTTTAACTAGGTCAGACAGCTAAACAGGGGTGCATCACATCAGTTTATTTCCACATTTTTATTCTGTCATTTTATGTTAGATTATAGATATATTTAAGGTGAAATGACCAACGCCTTGCGATAGTTGTCTAAACTTGCCATGCTCTACAGAAAATGTGAACGTCACTTGAAAGCCGCCAACTTCTCCCCTTCCCAAAAGCAAGTTCGTGTTTAAAACAGATTTTTGAAAAAATAGCTTGCGTCGGGATGCGAGCTACTTTTAACGTTTTTTATTTCCACATCCAAGCAATTTTACGACTTCAAAGTTAAACAATGTTTGTGTTAACTTTTTTGTATGGTATATTGCATATTTGCGAGGAAAAAATTCAAAGTACATAATCCTGCGTAGTGAAAGTATATAAACCTTAGATGATTAACATTAGTAATTTTAATGACAGTCCAATGTCCTTTCCAACACTTACCATTTTTCACATCCTTTGCATCCATTTTGATGCTGTTCCCTTTTCTATCGCCTGTAACAACTCACAACGTATCACACAAATTCACACCTGTTCACAACACCGCGGCCGTTCCGTCAGAGTCTGTCGTCGCGTTGTGTCCGCGCCGACTGTCGGCGGGCGAGTGAGCCTCGGTGACCGGCCGTCGGTCAGCACCGTCTGACCGTCTGACCGGCCGTCGGCCAGTTCTATCTCACCGTCTGACTGGCCGTCGGCCAGTCCCGTCTGACCGTCTGACCGGACCTGCCGTCGGTCAGTCCCGTCTGACCCTCGAGACCGGTGTGGCCTCTAGCAAGGGTGGCTTCCCTCTACTCTGCTGGCACTTCCCTCTCCGACGCAGTGCCAACTCAGTCTGCCTCTCAGGACTGAGTCCAGGTCGGTCGTGACTCGAAGTGGACTGGCCAGAGTCCGTGTTGTGCTTGCTCGGCAGTCAGACCACGCCCACCTCTGGCTAGGCGTGGCCTGCGCTGACACGCCCTTTGTGTCATTGGTGGAATGGATAGGCAGGAAATTCAATGCGTTTTTTTTTTAACATCTCCACGATCGCGATATTTCAGTTCATTTGAGTGTTTTGTTTTCCGCATTGCTTTGTATTCTATATGTTTATTGATAATCCAAGGCTGATAAGCAATAGTTATTTGTTTGGTGTAGGAAACTACAGATACCGCGTTCAGTTTTTTGTGATGCGTTCATTTGGCTACGAATCTCCTATATCGTCCACGGCTGCGCCTGACATTTTCTGGTGCCTTTTATCACTCATCCCCTACCCTCGCTAAACGTTTGGGAGATATTTACGATAAACGCAATCTTGTTTAGCTACTGAACGTTTAACAAATTTGACCTGTCCTTTTAATTTATCGTCCCTGCCTTACCGTTTCGTATTTGCCCAGTGTCTCTACACCTGCGCTACGTTCAAGGTCGGCTTTTGTGCTCCCCTCTCACGTCCTACTCGATGCTGACTGTGTATATCCAGATAACACCAGTTAATACCAGTTAAAGTTACCGGGCAAGGTACGAATAAGTAGACTGGTTTTAAGGTAGATCCGTTTTCAGCAATCCGTCATTTTTGCCTGATATGATAAGATTCAAGTCGCACGTGTCATTGTCAAGCACAAATATAAGTTGTTGAGCTCGAATGTTGAGTCTAGGGTATGCGTAAATGAAAGTGATGGACCTGCGCTTCGAAAGGATTTAAATTTATTTGCTTAACCCGAGCCGGGCCGGTGCTCCGAGACTTCCGCGCCGGGCCGGAGGGGGGTGTCTGAACACCCCCCTCTAACTCGGCTCTTGGGCCACGTAGCGACACGCGATAAGCGGCATTCGAAAGAGCGTCACAAAAATGGCGGAAACACTTCGGTCATTTTTTGGGTCAGGCCAAAGGTCAGGTCGCCAGAGGTCATCAAAGGTCAAATGTAGGCCATTTCAACAATTTTGGAAACTGCCAACGGCTAACTCGGAAACCAATAGAGCTACAGCGCCGCGGAAAAGCGTGTTCGATAGCCCTTTTACAGACCTTTCTGGATTTTGTTCTCAGATTTGACCTCAGGTCAATGGTTTAGCCTCCAGAGAGGAAAAACTGTAAAAAATAGCCGTTTTCACCAAAAACAGTATTTTGGTAATAACTTTTCATTCAAGCAAACCACGACATTACTTTTTCCAGCATCGTGTTCCTCTCGTCGAGACGCGTCGAATGAACTATTCGCTGACCTTGAAAGGTCTTAAGTTCTTGAAAGTGCTTAAGTTGTACTTTACACTGACGCAAAGTTCTTTTTTTAAGTGCACTTACTTGCACTGGACATGTCCAGAGGCAAAGGGATTTTAGTGAGAGTTACACATTCAGTAAGAGAGATATAGATTGTTGACGACAGGGCTCGAGGGGTTTCTGCCCACTAATGTATGTATGATTTTCCTAAGAGTTTGAGTTCGCAGCATTCGATGGCAGCAGTTAAAATCACTTCCTTTGAAACTTTGAATTATCCTCGCGGAAGTTTCAACACTCTAAACGGCTATGTACCATTGCCAAAACATACAGGGTGAGCCATAAAGATTTACCCATCGAAAATTTCACTTTGTTTCAAGGCGAGCTGACATAGTCATCTTTTACATACCTACAATCTACATACATACGTCATCTCCTAACTAATAAATGTAGTCTGTTTGCTGTATGCTCGCATTCTCCTTATGTTACGCGCCCGAGGCGCGAGAGCACTATGGCACGCGGCCGCCGCACCGTCTTCTCACTTATTTTCCTCGATCACCCATGCTATAACAATGCTGCGCCGTATATCATTTGCAGAGACTCGGTACAGTCGGGTTTTCAAGATATTTCAGTTTGGGAAGCCCGTGGGGCTGAAGTCGGGGATAAATTGTGCCCAGCATTCTTTAGACCAAAGGGTGTTGAGCAGCCAAGACTCAGTGGTGATTCCTGAATTTCAGGAGCGGCGGATGTGCGTTAAGACGACATCGCATTTCAGGAGCGTAGCAGAGGCAGTCGACTAGCATATACAAAAAGAGTTACACTGTCAGGATTGGAGACAAATTTGCGACATGTATGCAAAAGATGGCATATCTGAGCCAACCCGTTTAGAAATAAAATGAATTTATCGATGGGTCAGGGTAATTCTTTATGGCTCACCCTGTAACTCATCTTTTCGGGTCTCCCGTATAGATTTGTTGATGCATGAAGCGCTATTCTTTTGATCTTTCATTTTAAACAAATAAAGCTTCTGGACTCTAGCTATTAGTTACGCAAGTTTGATGTTCCAAACCTTCCCCATCTCTCCCTGCAACTGTGTCGCGCGTTTGTACCGAATCATGCAGCCAAATCATGACCAGCGTTGCTGAAGTGGGCGCGCCCGGTGCCGGGCCAGCCCGTTGCAGGGCATGTTGCGACCGGGAGATGTTGCCAGGGCTGAGGTCCCTTTCCTCTGGTCGGAGAGAGCAGACGATGGCCACCATTGTTGACGCCGTGTTCCTCCTTTCTACGACCTCAGCCCTGTCGCAGGGTCGAAGCATAGCTGAGTCACAATTCATGAGCATAAAGAGCCTGTGTTGGACCATGCTGCTAACGGCACTGTTTCTATTGTAGTTGCGGAGCGTAGACCTTCTACATAATCATCGGTGAGATTGGTTTTAAATAAGTCTTGACTTTAAGCATATGCCGCATAGCTTGTCATGAAATTTCTGTTCCACGCATCGAGAGGAGATGTCAGCTGTATTGAGTAACATTTTTTACTCACGTGTTACCTTAACTAATCCACAGTGTATATAAATAAGAACTAATCGAGACTACCGTCTGTTTTTTTTTGGGGGGGGGGACTGTTGGGATCAGAATCTGGCAGAGTTATTCGGTGCAAGACGCCTTACGACTAGTGACGATATTTTACAACTCGGGCGGAGCAGACCGATGCACCGTTAACCACCGTTGTAAGTACGGCGAAGGGCAATAACTGGCAACTATATGCCACTATTATACACACACAAAAATATTAACACCGTCAGCGGTGTAATTGCACAGTACATATCTGAGCACTTGAGGAAAGTTAATTTAGTCCCTTCCCCGCTTAAATTACTCGCGCTTCTAAATGAACACAAGGAATAAGGTAATAGAACACTGTTAGGAGGGTTGGGTGTTTTACTACATGTAGTAAACTACATTACTACAACATTGACTACATTACTAACTACATTAAACTATACATTAAACTACATTACTACATGTAGTAAAACACCCAACCCTCCTAACAGTGTTCTATTACCTTCTTCCTGGTGTTCATTTAGAAGCGCGAGTAATTTAAGCGGGGAAGGGACTAAATTATTTTTCCTCAAGTGCTCAGATATGTACAGTCTGTCTTAAAAGTACCGCGCAAAGTGACGGTGGATCCATCGAGCCTGACTGAGCAAGGGCCTGCTAAATTTGGGTCACTGAAGCAACTGACATCCTTATCCATTCCCTACACACAGAAAAATATTAACACCGTTAGCGGTGTAATTGCACAGTACATATCTGAGCACTTGAGGAAAGTTAATTTAGTCCCTTCCCCGCTTAAATTACTCGCGCTTCCAAATGAACACCAGGAAGAAGGTAATAGAACACTGTTAGGAGGGTTGGGTGTTTTGCTACATGTAGTAAAACACCCAACCCTCCTAACAGTGTTCTATTACCTTCTTCCTGGTGTTCATTTGGAAGCGCGAGTAATTTAAGCGGGGAAGGGACTAAATTAACTTTCCTCAAGTGCTCAGATATGTACTGTGCAATTACACCGCTAACGGTGTCAATATTTTTCTGTGTGTAGGTCAATTGGTCGGTGACTTTTAAATTAAAACAGGCCCTTTCTCGGTCAGGCTTGATGGATCCACCGCCACTTTGCGCGGTACTTTTAAGACAGACTGTACTGTGCAATTACACCGCTAACGGTGTTAATATTTTTTTTTTGTGTAGTGTCGCCCCATTGCAGCTGGGTAGGTGGTGGTGATGGACGATTTTATGCAGGTGATTGCACGTGCCGGCGGCGTGCCCTGCTCTTGTACCAATTGTAAACCCATGTCCAGTAGGAATGATTCCGTGTCACCCCACAACACAGCGCATGGCCTCTCTCAGTGATCAATTCATTCGAATGGTCCACTGAACCCTTGAATTGGAAAGCCAGCGGCTGTTTCTACGAGTATAGTATGCACGAATGAAATCGGCCAAATAACTACTTTTTTTAGACATGCCGACTTCTCGACCTGGGTGAAAACAAAGCGTAAGTTCTGCTCTCAGAAAGCCTCTCATTCAATCTTTAAATGCGTTGCTGCAGCTTCCGGTTCGAACAGTCCTGTGCCGTTGACTCCATGGTGGTGTGAATTGGCACGGCGCAGTGCCGACCTTTCTGTGTCGCAGTATAAACAAATAGTTCCGGGCGGCTCGTCTCTTCGCTATGGTCCTTCCGTTTATGTTTATGAGTGACCTAGCGCTTTGTAGAACCAGCTCGTAGTCACTGTTATTTATAGAAAGCCGGGCGATGATGTGAGACCGAGCTCCAAGTGAGACAACGCCCCTCTGCGGTGCCCTTGTGCCCCTCGGAGAGACAGGGTCATGAAATAACAGCACCTCGTGGACAATGGACGTCCGTGTTCGGTTCCAGCGACACCCCACGGTGCTTTGCCCTTTACTGCATCGACGAAGGCGTCATCAATATTCGTGTTCCTACTGCCGCCTACGTATTCAGGTCGTCATTGAGTTTGAAATTGCTGGCTGGCTCGTTGTCCTTGAGCTCGCAGTGTTTTGTGTGGGGTGCGATTGTGTTTTGTCATTGCATAGAAGTCATATAGGCCTTATAGTCAATATTCATCTAGCATGTCTTAATTATTTTTTTTTATATTATTCGGAGGGCTAGGCTGCTAGATAATAGGTGTGCTTTACCTATAGATCGTAGGGACCATGTAAGTATAGGTAAATCATTTGATTTGTGACATCGTCACTTTGAAATGAAATAGAATAAGAAGTTTGAACGCAATCGCTTAAATTCTTATGGCGTTGTTCTTTGATCTCAAGTGGGTTAGCACAAATCACGCCTGTAAGTTATACCATGGATGAGATACTATCACGAGCGTATCTGAGCCGTTCGGACGGGCACCCGGCACAGCCATGCGGCCTGCGACGGTGCGCTACCTGGTGTCGTGACCTGGCTGTCGAATCAGCCCAATGTGTCACCCCGGTTCCTCTTCTTTTTCTGTTCACGGCCTAAGAGCGGCATAAGCAGCTGGGGTATTTTGTAAACTGAAAGTGCCTTTTGAATAAGTATAATACTTTACAATAGACGGTAGTGGGAACTACCACGCTTTCCTGGCGGAGCAAGTCCCCTTGGCCCTTCTTACCGCGCCATCTGGCACAGAGCTCATTGAGCTTGTCCTGCCACCTACCGTTCGCATCCACCGCCCAGGCAGATACCAACGCGTATTCAGACCGCTATCACTGTTCAGAGGCATACGATGCATCGATGGCATACGACAGGACATAACATATCAAGCCACCTCTTTGGAGGGACCATTGTTTACAACTCGGAGTAGCCTAAGCTGAGACCAGCTTAGCCTGGTCTGGACGTGTATCTGATCTCACACCCTACCTCCCACGTAGTGAGCTACCTGTGGGGATAGGGGAAGGTCGGAGTACGCCGCAAGTTGACCGAGCTGCTGATTTCCCTGCGGGACATTTACCGGGCCGAGGTCAGTGGGTTCGCCTACCCCACCGGGGCGCCGCGTGGACGGTCAAGCGACAAAGGTGACACCCGGCGAAACCCATGGCGACGGAGCGATACCAGCCGATGTGGACCTGACTTTGGGGAGCTGTTGGTCTGACACGTTTTAAAACGATGACATTTATCTTATTCTGATGTATCCCAAGTTTCTAGGCATGCTTCTGTAGAAGTTCTCAGCTCAAACAACTGGCCACAGATTTAATGTGATGTGACCTAACTGGAAGGCCACGTTTAATTATATGCTTCCAAATAGCCGTGTTGGGATCTAGATTGTATTTATGTAAAGGGAAAGTTAGGACAGTCCCTGCTTTCTGAGCAAAACAAGCAAAAATTCGTTGAAAAATGCAAAATAGCCAGCAGTTGTGAACTATCGTACGTTAAAAGCAACCGCTCTGTTTTATATCAACGTGATAGTTAGCGCAACTTTGTTTCATTGATAAATCATCACCTCGTTCTGAAATGTGGCGCCATCGACCCTTGGCAGACTGGCGAACTTTGATTTATCGTCTGGGCTTCGCGTTTACGGCAAAGCTCAATGCCACTAATCATGAGACCCAGTCTTCCGGACGCTAAATTTAGACCTATATTATTATCGCCTGAATACGCAGCGCCACATTTGGACCCTTGAAGGGCAGCCACGAAAATAAGTTAAGCGAGGTTAAAAGGGCATGTGTACCTTTTTCTATGCTTTGCTTATTCGAGAAGCGGTATATGATGTGCTGTATTATGCACCTCACATGAACGTATGGCTTAAATCTACTTCTTTGATTCTGTTCGTGATATTTGGCACGAAATTCGGTACAAGGTTTTAGGACCTGTATGACAACATGCAGCCCGTGCACACTGCGCAAGGGATCCAGATTATTTCAGGTGATCCACGCTAATAAATGTAGGTGCAATATAATACAGCAGTGAATTTTGGGCGGTGAATGCGATGAACCTTTAAAACATTTCAAGATGTAAAAAACCACATTGAACTACTGAGGATGTATGGAGTCACTAAATGCCTATGCAGAAAAATAAAAAAGTAAATAAATAAATAAAATCATTTTCAGATGCATGATTTGAACGGACTTGGTCAGAATGGAAGAATTATAGAGAGCTAACTATTATCTCATACATAGATAACATGAATCTATGTTATCTCTGTCTTATACATATAATCCTGCCTTGATATTTAGTTTCATTTCAAGTTCTTAAATATTAATTCGGATCTATTTTCTTATGTATACCCGGTGTGCGCAACTAATTCTCATGGTAACCTTGATTCCTTAGCCACATATTATATCGAATACAGGCAGCTTTTGCTAAATTGTCAGGGAACTCAGATTTGTTTTTCAGTAGAAAAACACAATTCTAAAGAATAGTGTTTTAACTATTGACAACAAACCTTCGGTTAGAATGTAAGTATGCTTTTTATCATCTAGTTCATATAGTTTGGTTATTATTTTTCATGATTTCTCAAAAGAACAAGCAAGAAAAACACTTTTAATTTCGTTAGTGGCGAACCAGCTTCATTAAGCTAGATTTTCTTCGGCACCCCAAAAGCTAAATTGATGTGCCTGCCGTATTACGTTCAACGCAGAAAACCTTTTTCGCGACAAGTCCCATCAATTTACTTCTCTGGGTCGCTAACAGTTTGATAAGATCGAATCGTTACGAATGAAGCTGCTTTTTTGCTTCACTTTTGTTGCCGTCGTCTTAGCCGCGCAACTTACTGAACTTCCATAAATGCTCTTACCAGTAAAACGCCTTTTGGGCGAAGAACGAGCGAGCGAGATAGTGAGCCCTGCACGTGCGGAAGTGCGAGAGGGTACTTCCAACGGGCTTGTGCAAAGCACCCTTCTAACCGGTCGCTAGCGGTGTGCCAAATTTGAACGCAATCGGCCCAGCCGTTCCTGAGATCTGGAAGCGGCATACTGCACGTGCGCACGTGCAAACGGGGTCCAAAATGACTTTTGCACGGCACCCTACTAACCGGTCCCCAACCGTGTGCCAAATTTGAGCGCAATCGGCCTAGCCGTTCTCGAGATCTGGAAACGCCCCCGCACGTGCGCACGTGCAGTAGCACCCTAACCGCAACACATGGGAATGCATTGCCTGGTGGGTGCCTACCCAAGTTTCAGCGAAATCGCCCCAGTAATTACCGAGTTACTGAAATGGGAACAAATTTGGCACCTCTTCTTTTCGTATTTTGCACGTGCAGTGGGGGTCACTCACATAGATCAAGAGTATCCGACCTTTGGTAGAAGGGATGCAGCTACACTATAAAAACTACCGCAAGACAATTGCTCAAGCCACTGCTGAGATATGGGCATCTCAAAATCATTACTTTTGCAAAACTGCTTGAACACCCTTGACTTTTCACGTGGCACGTGCCACGACGGTCACTGAGATGTATCAAAAGTAGTCAATTACGGGGTAGAACGGATGGGGCTACCCAGCAAAAAAAGACCGCAGGCCAATCGGTCTATCGGTTGCTGAGATATAAGCCTCTCAAAAGCGTTACAGGCCGGGCCGGGCCGGGCCGGGCCGGGCCGCTCATACTGAGATTTTTCCGTTATATTGAAAAGACTCACTTCGCTCGCTACGCTCGCTCGCTCGTAATGAATGTCCCTCAAGTTTTCTACCAGCTGACAGCGCTACATTTAGATCGCAATGTAAATTGTAAATGTCTTTTGATTCACATGCTCATAGGGCTAGTGAGATGTATGTATACGTTATTACGTTATTATTATATATTATTATATATACGTTATTAATTGTCCTTAATCTTTGTATTGTTCGTGTTCTTTGTAAACGTTTATGGGGTTCCCGAGACATGAGAAACTTTTGAAACTTTCTGTTTCATATGACTGAAAAGAATAATAGAAAGCCTTTCCCGGCAATGGTCCTACCCCGATTGACGCCGCCTGACTACACGTACTACCCTTTCCCATTCTACTAACCCTTTTCCTTTCTCGCTCCCTGTTCTGTCTCGCCCTGTCGCCAACCCTCGCCCCTTCTCTGTCCTTTCGCGCCCTGTCACCAAACCCCGCTACCTGCCGTCGCCGGTCGCCGCGACGTTCGATTGCCGTACCGACGGCCGGTGTCGGGCCTGAGACCGTCGCGTCGGACCCCAGTGCTCGTCCGACGCTCGCCGACGCAGGTCTGTGTTCGGTGCGGCTCGCGGACATGGCGACGAACGGGCTCGCTCAGAGGATGACGGTGGTGGCGGCGGCGGTGCTGTTTTGCGCAGCAGTAGGTAGGTCTCAGATCGGTTGCCGGCGAGTCTGGTGTTTTTGTTTTCTTGGGAAATAGGAATTGTGCTTGCCCAGCATAGCCAGCTAACGGATGCGGACGCAAATATTTCACGATTATTACTTGCCATATCTTAACTACTAATTAAAACTGACGAGCAATTACCAATGTTAAAATCTGTGCAACAAAGTGGAATAGTTTTCTCAAAACGTTGAGCTATGTCACTTAATGTTAAATAGAAATTTTTTTCCTGGAAGATTTAAACCTTCGTAAGCCCACCGGCAGTCACTGCATAAGACCCAGCTCAGTGTCGCACTTGTTTACAGCATATGAGCACACCTTTATTTACACAATACATTCTGATGCAATTTAAACCGGCTGTAGAGGCCTGGCGCTGGCTATTCATTCTCTAAGGCCCAGCGGGTGTTGGAAGTGGGTTAATGCAGTCCTACTTACGCTAATTGGCTCCTAATTAAGCTACAGCTTCGTGCTAAAAAAGCGTGCCTCTCACGAGGAACAAAAATTGACAGAACCGTTATCAGGTCATTGTGAACTTGCCGGTCGAGCTGCATGGAGTACACGTTTATTTATCCTGTCATTTGAGCTACATAAGCTGACTACGGATTTATAATTCAGCATTTCAGATATACGCCTCAGACAGCTTTCGGAACCAGAGAGGCTTAACCCGCGCCCTGCTGGGGGGGGGGGTGTTTGAACACCCCCCTTGTGGTTTTTCGCGAATATCTCAAAAACGGCGGCGCGGAGCGCCGCCGTTTTTGGTACACCTTATCATACATCAATTCTACACATGTTGTGAAAATTTCAGACCAAGGTCATTCAAGGTCAGGTCACCAGGTCACTTGAAGTGACCTCACCTCATAAAAAGTTTCAATGTCTGTCATAGCTACACCAAGTGACCGATCGCTTTGAAACTTTCAGTGATTGCTAAGAGCAATAGTACGTATAAAATGTATATCTCAGAATTTTGATATCGATGACCTAAGGTCAGGTCAATTTTGCGACCTCCCCATTATAAGTCTATGGGAGAAAATTGAAATGCGCCTCTTTTGGACGAAAGACATTATAAACACTCCCAAACACTGAATTACAAGTGGTTTAGACACACTGAACATGAAAATGGTGTCCGTGACCCCTGTTTATGCCCTGAGGTCATCTTAGGTCACGAATGGTATCTAACAGTTTTTCTCAAATAACTTTTGATAGAGGCATGCTAGAGCGATGAAAACGCATTAGATGTGTTCAGCTCGACGATACGGATCGACTGATATGCAACATGACCCTTTCAGGTCAGGTCATGACCTTGACCTGAGGTCAAATTTTCAAGTTGACCTTTCAAGGTCAAGTTATAGTTCATTCGATGCGTCTTGACGAGAGGAACACGATGCCGGTAAAAGTAAGCTCGTGCAAGGCTTGGGTCAAAAGTTATTGCAGAAAAACTGTTTCCGAAAAAATCGGCTATTTTTGCAGTTTTTGCCCCCTGCAGGCAAAACCGTTGACGTTCGGTCAAATCTGAGAGAATTACTCAGAAAGGGTGTTAATAGGGCTATCGAATGCGCTTTTCCGCGGCGCTGTAGCTCTATTGGTTCCCGAGTTATGCGTTGGCATCTTGGAAATTGTCGACATTCGACCTGGAAATCGGCGAAATTTTGCCTTTAATGACCTCTGGTGACCTGACCTTTGACCTGACCAAAAAATTGACCGAAGTGATTTCGTCATTATTTTTGACGCTCTTTCGAACGCCGCCTTCCGCGTATCGCTACGTGGCCCAGGAGCCGAGTTAGAAGGGGGGGGGGGTGTTCAGACACCCCCCCCCCCCCAGCAGGGCGTGGAAATCCAGGACCCCCAGCCGGGCGCGGGTTAATATTTCGAATCCCCCCAAAATACCTTCAGACGGAAAGACCATAATGGCACAAGACGATGGTTGTCGGGATGTGCGTGGTGTTAATATTAGCCGGTAACGATAAGTGACGCACTGTTCACAATTACGACGCACTGGCAACGACTAGCTGCTTTATGGAGGCACTTTCGGCGCACTGGTGACGGCCAGTGCAAGGCAAAACACAGTGATTGCAGTATACAATTTTCATGTTCCTGGATCGTTTTCTTCGTCACGACTATGCATTGATTGCAATGACTGGTTATGTTACTGTCATGCGATCTTAAAAACGCAGAACTCGATAGAAAGAAAGAGAGTAGAAAGAGAGTATGTTCGCTCAGGACATCAAATATGTGGCTGGGAAGCTTCAGCGGTAGCTGCGAAGCGAACCTATGCTAGTCTATGCTAGTTGCGTCATGCAGCTGAATGACGATCACAAAGCTGTCGTATTTTTAGGAGCTCAATGAATGAAATGATATAACGTAAGGGGCTTGGAGTCAGTCGTTGTGTCAGTTGAAAACATCTGGTTGTGCTTGAAAGGGCCAGCGGTGGCCATAACTGTCCGTTAATCGACGCTTCTGCATGATTATGCATTTTGCACACACACCAAACTATAATGAAGTGATCTTTGTCACACGATTCATCTGATGGATTCTCAAACAGACAACAGCCCTTGCTTGTGATCGTAACTCAACCATGTCCACTGTAATTCATTTAAGGATGATGCGTCATTATTGGGGTATTCTGGGCTGCGCTCAAGTCTTTTTGAATCGTTCTCACCAAATAAGACCAAGTGCCCCACAAACACCTTATAGGCCCCAAGGGATTGATAACCTACATATAGTTTGATCATTGGGACGCCATCCGAATGAGTCTCTATAAAAAGCAAAAAAAAAAAAAAAAACAACAAGAAAACATGTTAAGATGTGACTATCATCCGGCACCCTATATTTCCAGACTCCCCATCAAACAACGTGCCAATGGCACGTGACGTGAAGCATATCCGGACGTGATTTCTATCATCACTATGGCCCTATTTCTCGGTCGTTGTCTGGCGATTGTAGCCACCGTCCCAGGTCGATACGGTCCATGTTGGCAGCCTGAATGGACGGATAATGACCCGTACCGACTGGGCCGGCGGGACCCAGCTGGCACAGACCGTTCCTCTGAGGTAATGACCTGCACGGGGGCGTCTGGGGCCAGCACAGACCGGCCAGAGACGACGGGGCAGTCTGGGTCAGCATGGACCTGCCCCGCGGCGGATAGAACAGCCCCACGGCAGGGTCTACTGGGCGCGAGGAACAGATCCAGCCCCATGTGGCAGCGTCTCTAGGCCGGACGGGGGAGCGCAAACTGACAACCCCGAGGCCCAGGCGACCCCTGATGTTTTTTTTTTTTTTTGATCTCCCGGCTAGCCGTGAGGCTATAGCCGGTACCCCTGATGAGTTGCTTGCATTCACTTGTCATTTTGTACACTGTAAAAAAAGTTTAGCACCATAGAGGTACTTTTCAATTGACTAATTTTCAGTACCCTAGCGGTGCTAAGCTAAGCATTTTATTCGTACTTAACTGAGATCTAGTTTAGTATCAAGGTGCTAATATAAGTACCTATATTTGTTTAGCACCCGTGTACTAAATGTAGTACCCTACACCTGCTAGACCAATTTTCAGTACCCTAGCGGTGCTAAACTTTAAAAGGTGCTAAGAATAGCATGCAGTTAGTACCTTCCGTACTCACATATGAACCGTTTTAGCGCTATTGTTACCCCACGACAAGTAGAATAATGCTAACGAAAGCATTGGGGCTGAAAGTAGAATATCTATACTAGTTAAAGCTGCTGCATGAAAAGTTCGCAAAAACTGCTTTCTTTAGCAGCACATACTTTCACTATTTACTGCAAAAAGGACTAATCAATTACCAAAAAGGAAATTGTGTAAGGCCGAAAAGACGTGCAAAAAAGGTTATATCCTAGATAAGTGATAACTACGAGTCTCAATGATTGTGTTTTGCATTCTGCAATATTCCCGTGTAAGTGCATCTTTCAAGCATCCAACACATTATAAAATTAAAAAATAATAATGGAACATTTATTAACACTTCATATCATCTGCATGAAAACAAATGTAAATATATACACAAACAAACGCACGGGAAATAACGAAAGGTCGCTCATATACCTGCACACTCGCAGTGACCGACGATTAACGCGAGATCGACTGGGGGAGGCGGGGGGGGGGGGGGGGCGTTGAACCGACGTTCCTTTCATGGCCATAAGTTCGACCTCATCCACGACCAGACGGCGTTTAGTGATGGACGGAACCGGAGACCCCGTGTTGTTGTCGTAGTTGTCCTCCATTGTAAGTGGTAGTCAACGGAAGAACTGACCAGGCCCCATGCCTGGAGCAAAAAAAAAAACTGGATCAATCCAAGATTTTTTTCTGTTGGGAGCTATTTTCGTAAACAACACAACTTTCCTTCAGACCAAGAAGCGCGATTTGCCAAAGTCGGAATATGAAGCACTTAAACAATATAAGATAATGTCAAAAGATACAACGTGTCAGACTCACCAAAGTCGATCAACGTCGGTGTCGGTGGCATGTGTCGGTGGCAAAGGCTCATGTAGCACCCGGCCCCGGAGCACTTCACTTCACTTCACTGCACTGCTGCACTGCACTTCCCTCCACCTCACTGCCTCCCGGAGCAGGGGCACGCACACGCACTCCCATGCCACGCACGACGGATTCCACCGATAATAGCTGATTTAAGCTATCATTCCAGAGCTATCACTCTGTGGCATGTGCCCGGAGCACTTCACTTCACTTCATTTCACTTCATATACCGGAGCACGTGCACACACTCCCACCACGACCAACGGACTCCACTAAAATGGCGCAGCACGTGGCCGGAAACAGCTGGCACGCGCATGCGCATATCGCTCTGCGCCGTCAAAACGTGCTAAAGGGCTGGTGATAAGACTCCCAGAGATTTGTAAAGCAGGGCTTAGCTACTTTCTTTGGCGCCAATTTCAAATTTGTTTCCTCTGTAAGCATGTCCGGTTCTATTGTGATACTAACGTAAGCACCATATTCAGCATTACCAACTTCTA